ATTATGGGGTATCAGAGTTTCTAGGGGGTTAGCTGGGATAGCAGGCTTGTTGGTTTTTGAATGTCTGATGTAGATTTTTTCAATTTTGTTGTTCTGTATGGGACAATGACAATAAACAGTATCGTATCGTATCGTATCATCATATCGTATCGTATGCTCAGCCTCATCTACATTAGCTTCCAAACAAAAAGCCCATATATTGTTCTCCACTTTCAGTTTTAATGGTTTTACATTATTACCCGTTTCAAGACATATCTTCTTAGCACCCAGATTGATTTCACACAAGTGTTATGCTGAGCTGTGGAATGGTGTTTCAATTGCTCGTTTAAGGTGCTCTTTTTTGTTTGTTTATAGAATCATAGAAGTGTGCAGGAATCTCAACTAGATCGTACATGGCTGGTGGCCAGCCTCTGCTTAAATGCATCCAATAATAATAATAATAATAATAATAATAATAATAATTTATTTATACCCCACCCTTAAGGTAAAGGTAAAGGTACCCCTGCCCGTACGGGCCAGTCTTGACAGACTCTAGGGTTGTGCGCCCATCTCACTCAAGAGGCCGAGGGCCAGCGCTGTCCGGAGACACTTCCGGGTCACGTGGCCAGCGTGACATCGCTGCATCTGGCGAGCCAGCGCAGCACACGGAAACGCCGTTTACCTTCCCGCCAGTAAGCGGTCCCTATTTATCTACTTGCACCCGGGGGTGCTTTCGAACTGCTAGGTTGGCAGGCGCTGGGACCGAGCAACGGGAGCGCACCCCGCCACGGGGATTCGAACCGCCGACCTTTCGATCGGCAAGCCCTAGGCTCTGTGGTTTAACCCACAGCGCCACCCGTGTCCCTTATTTGTCCATCTCCAAATAGTCCAATATCTTTAAAACCTGCTCCTCTTTTGTTGGAACATCTTCCTCTTTCCATTCTAGACCTCTCCTCTCTGCTTCAGTTTTGCCGTGATGTTTGCAGACCACTTAGTTTAAAAGACGCATTGTGGCTATTCTGGGGTTGAGAGGACCTTGTTCGGAGAGGAATTCTGGGGAAAAGAAGGGGCAGCCATTAGCCAATCAGAGCAAAAAGCTCTGCTCCTTGGCGTTGGTCCGTATGTGTGGAACTCCCACCCCACTGATAGACACTTCCCTCCCACAGATTCACTCTGAACCTTCAATAATTTGGAAGTAGAGTGGACCCTCCGGACATGAACCATTAGGTCCAGTCGTGACCGACTCTGGGTTGCAGCACTTATCTTGCTTTATTGGCCGAGGGAGCCGGCGTACAGCTTCCGGGTCATGTGGCCAGCATGACTAAGCCACTTCTGGCGAACCAGAGCAGCGCACGGAAACGCCATTTACCTTCCCACCGGAGCGGTACCTATTGATCTACTTGCACTTTGACGTGCTTTTGAACTGCTAGGTTGGCAGGAGCAGGGACCCAGCAACGGGAGCTCACCCCGTCATGGGGATTCGAACCGCCGACCTTCTGATCGGCAAGTCATAGGCTCTGTGGTTTAACCTACAGTGCCCCACCCGCGTCCCCCAGGGGTCCGTACGTACCCCAAAAAGTCCGCATCTAGAGGTGCCGCTTCTGCACACATGTGCAGCATGATAGAGCGCTTCTGCGCACATGCACGGTGCCCAAGCACTTCTGCACATGCGCCCTTGGCGAAACCCAGAAGAATACACTTCCAGGTTTGCCGCATTCACAACCCGAAAGTTATGTTACCTGAAGGTAACGTAACTCGAGGGTCCACTGTATAGTGGTACCTTGGTTCCCGAACGGCTTAGTTGTCGAACAAATCCGTTCCCAGATGCAGCAAACCCAGAAATAAGTGTTCCGGTTTGCAAACATTTTTCAGAAGCCAAACATCCGGCATTGCTTCCCCGGCTTCTGATTGAGCGCAGGAAGCTCCTGCAGCCAATCAGAAGCCGCACCTTGGTTTTCAAATGGTTTCGGGAGTCTAACGGACTCCCGGAACAGATTTAGTTTGAGAACCAAGGCACCACTGTACACCTGGTTGGTTGGTTGTCGAACGACAGAACAGCGTTGTATCATTTTTTCCTGTTTTCCTTAGAATCCTTTTATTTATTGCAACAAGAACATCTCCTTCAATAGCATTGACCTAACCTGGGGAGAAAACAGTAAATACCTGATGAAGAGAGCACAGCAGAGGTTATATTTTCTGAGAATCCTCCGAAAAAACAATCTCTCAAAGGACCTGTTGATGGCATTTTACCATTGTACTGTTGAGAGTGTATTAACTTATGGTCTGTGTGTGTGGTTTGGGAGCTGCACGGTCAGGGAAAAAACAATGTTGTCCAGGGTTGTAAAGACTGCAGAGAGAATAACTGGGTGCACTCTTCCCACCTTGGATCAAATCTATGCTTCCAGGTGCCATAAGAAAGCTGCAGAGATAGTGCACACCCCGGAAATGATCTCTTTCAGCTTCTGCCTTCTGGAAGAAGGTACAGTGTTATAAAGTCTAGGACTAGCTGCCTGAGAAACAATTTCTATCCAAATGCGATTTTGGTTTTAAACGCAGTGTAAGGTAGTTTCTATGGGCGTATATTGCATTTAATTATGGGGTATCAGAGTTTCTAGGGGGTTAGCTGGGATAGCAGGCTTGTTGGTTTTTGAATGTCTGATGTAGATTTTTTCAATTTTGTTGTTCTGTATGGGACAATGACAATAAACAGTATCGTATCGTATCGTATCATCATATCGTATCGTATGCTCAGCCTCATCTACATTAGCTTCCAAACAAAAAGCCCATATATTGTTCTCCACTTTCAGTTTTAATGGTTTTACATTATTACCCGTTTCAAGACATATCTTCTTAGCACCCAGATTGATTTCACACAAGTGTTATGCTGAGCTGTGGAATGGTGTTTCAATTGCTCGTTTAAGGTGCTCTTTTTTGTTTGTTTATAGAATCATAGAAGTGTGCAGGAATCTCAACTAGATCGTACATGGCTGGTGGCCAGCCTCTGCTTAAATGCATCCAATAATAATAATAATAATAATAATAATAATAATAATAATAATTTATTTATACCCCACCCTTAAGGTAAAGGTAAAGGTACCCCTGCCCGTACGGGCCAGTCTTGACAGACTCTAGGGTTGTGCGCCCATCTCACTCAAGAGGCCGAGGGCCAGCGCTGTCCGGAGACACTTCCGGGTCACGTGGCCAGCGTGACATCGCTGCATCTGGCGAGCCAGCGCAGCACACGGAAACGCCGTTTACCTTCCCGCCAGTAAGCGGTCCCTATTTATCTACTTGCACCCGGGGGTGCTTTCGAACTGCTAGGTTGGCAGGCGCTGGGACCGAGCAACGGGAGCGCACCCCGCCACGGGGATTCGAACCGCCGACCTTTCGATCGGCAAGCCCTAGGCACTGAGGCTTTTACCCACAGCGCCACCCGCGTCCCCCCCCCCCACCCTTACCAGTTCAGAAAACCGGGCTCAAGGCGGCTAACAACAAAATTAAAACACTTAATTGATGCAATAAAATCTGGCATAAAACATGAATAACAATAAATTCAAAAATCAAAAATCAATTTAGGGAGGAAATCCATCCAATAAACATTAGATGATCACCAGGGCTAGCTGGCTAAATCAGTCCTATTTGAGCCAGCAAGGAGACCAGGCGAGAATTGGCTGTGGGATCCCAGAGCGGGTAATCTTCATAAAAAAGGGGAGGGAGAGGGAAGGAAGGGGAATAAAAGATCAGGCTGAATTCAGATTAAACGCCAGGCGGAATAGCTCTGTCTTACAGGCCTACGGAAAGAAGTTAAATCCTGCAGGGCCCTGGTCTCATAGGACAGAGCATTCCACCAGGTTGGAGCCATCACTGAGAAGGCCCTGGCTCTGGTGGATGTATGGGAACAGCGGGAGAGGGTTAATCCTTCCTTCCCCCAGCTGTACCCCCCCCCCAAAAAAAACAAAAAGATTTAGAAAAGCCTACCTATTGGCTGGAACAGAAGACTTTTGTCAAGCCTAATTGCTGAGCTGGTGAGGGGTAGAGAAGAAGAGACTGCGGGCCATATCTGGTCTTCAGGCTGGCAGTTCCCCACCCCTGAGGCTAATTATTTGGTGAGGCCTTTGCCTTGAAAAGTAGCATATGGATATTCTACATAACTTAATAAATTCATTTGCTGCCTTACCTGCCTGAACAGGTGGGGGAGATTTCCCCCATTTAATACTACTACTAATAATAACAATGGCTGGGAAGTGGGTGGCGCTGTGGTCTAAACCACTGAGCCTCTTGGGCTTGCTGATCAGAAGGTCAGTGGTTCGAATCCCCGCGACAGAGTGAGCTCCCTTTGCTCTGTCCCAGCTCCTGCCAACCTAGCAGTTCGAAAGCACACCAGTGCAAGTAGATAAACAGGTACCGCTGTGGCAGGAAGGTAAACGGCGTTTACATGCGCTCTGGTTTCTGTCAAGGTGTCCCGTTGCACCAGAAGTGGTTTAGTCCTGCTGGCCACATGAGCTGTCTGTGGACAAACACCGGCTCCCTTGGCCTGAAAGCGAGATGAGCGCTGCAACTCCATAGTCGCCTTTGACTGGACTTAACCATCCTTTACCTTTTACTACTACTACTACTAATAATGTCATTGTTTGTTGTTGAAAACCAATTCCAAGCCTTTGGCTTGGGATTAACTTGATCCCCTCCCCCTCTTTCCTTTTTCCTTTCTTCTTCTGTGATGAAACTCCTTTTTGGGGGACTTCCCTGGCTATTTTTCTGGCCCACGTAGGACCAGTCTGGATAGTTGGCCTTGGAGAAAACTTGACATTTTCAAATCAAACTTTTTGATTTGAGTTTCTACTGAAATGAGGGTGCATTTTAATGTTGTATTTTAATCTTGTTTTTAAGTTGTATTTTAATCAGTTGTTTTTATACCTGGTGTTAGCCGCCCTGAGCCCAGTCTTGGCTGGGGAGGGCGGGGTATAAATAAAATTTATTAATATGATGATTAATCTGATTTCATTTCTGGTTCTTCCTGTCAGGAAATGTTTACCGAGAATGCATGGGGAACGGGACCTGGGCCTCCAAAGCCAACTACTCCCAGTGTGAGCCGATTCTGGTTGAAGAGGTCTGTATCTCTCTGAGCTTTCTGCATTCTTGTTGAATGAAGTTTGTCAGTTTTTGAAAAACCCTGGCAAGCTCCCTGTCCTCTCCAACCCAAACCCACCTACCCCTCAGAAATAAAGACATGAGACACAAGATTTTGAGTTAATGGGTCAAATTAGGCCACAACTTTATTGATTACAGGAATTGAGCGGTATTGGCTTAGGCATTGGTCCTATCAACTAACCGGCTTCAGCCCGCTTGCTTGAAGGGTTAACCACCAGTAGGGGGAGTCCCACTGATGCACGTCAACTAGGAGCTCCCCTGGAGTCACCGCTCGGGGGCGTGCCATGGGCCCACACCTCCATAAGCTTAGGACAAGGCGGCACCCCCCCCCCCCGGAATCCTTTACCGGACTACCCTTAAGATTCGGAGAAGGTGATGGAGCTTCCTTCCCCCTCTTCATCTGTATAATAATACCCCTGCCAATGCCTAACCGCCCATACCGGTAGTCGTGACGGTTTGCTACGAGGTAGGCGAAAACCAAGTGGCTGGTGCCAATCTGCCAATTGGGAAAAATTCCTACAAGGCCCCTTGACGGCGACCGACCAAAGTCCATAGCAACGTCAGAGAGCCTAGCCTAAAGGGTGGGAGGGGAGGGGAAAACTTGAACAGCTGAGACGTGGGAAAGAGGGAGACCCTCGGCCGCGCCAGCCATAAATAGAGCCGGCCATGCCCCCCGGGCCAGCCGATTGGCTGGCCGGGTGGTGACGCGTCTGAGGATTCCCCTGGTATTGCGGGGGCTGAAAGCCAGCCCCTGCGTGTGAGGGGAGGGGCATGAAGCCCGCAACCCCACTTCCTCCCTAGCTCGGAAGTGGCTTTCCTCCTTCGCAATGCCTCAGGGGCAATTTCACACCTTAGGAACGTTGGTGGTCTCCATTCTGAAGCCATCTGAAGGCACTGCTATGCTTCTCTTACTTGCAAGTACAATGACCACTCCTGCTCACAGTATGGAATACACTGGCATCTTTCTCTCACTGTGGCCATAGCTCAGTGGTAGAGCATCTGTTCTGCACCCAGGAAGTCCCAAGTTCAATCCCCAGGTAGGGTTGGGAAGGGCTGCCTTCAGATGTCTTCTAAAATTTTGGTAGTTATTTTTCTCTTTGACATCTGATGGGAGGGCGTTCCACAGGGCGGGTGCCACTACCGAGAAGGCCCTCTGCCTGGTTCCCTGTAACTTGGCTTCTCATAGCGAGGGAACCGCCAGAAGGCCCTCGGCGCTGGACCTCAGTGTCCGGGGAGAACGATGGAGGTGGAGACGCTCCTTCAGGTATACTGGACCGAGGCTGTTTAGGGCTTTAAAGGTCAGCACCAACACAAAGCAATCAATGATACATCCAGATAGTTGTATAAATCATACACTTGTCAAAGCATCGGTTCAGCTTCTTAAAAACATAACATAGCTATGATCAGGGCTAAAAACAAACCTCTGTCTCTTTCCTAGCCTGCATACCAGCCTAAGACTATGTTCTCCTGAAGAGAGACCATTATCACATCCTTTGTTCTCTGTGGTTTAGAGAAAGACAGCGCCCTTCAAGACGGAGATTTGTGACTGAATAACCACTCACATGATCTAAAGTTAAACACCACATAAGAGAGCAGGGCAGAGGTAAACCCTAAGCTGATTAGCACCCCTTTAGATGCTCAGAGAGCTCTCTAATTTAGCTCAATGGAAATTTCCAATGTCAAACCCTTAGCAAGACGCATACAGAGCATATACAGAGTTGTTTCCATTTCAGTGTACAATTACACAGTTATACTTAACACCCCTCGCACGACTTTCTGCCGCTTTTTGCATCGGAAAAACAAACATGGGGGAGCTATGCCCAAACAGCTTCCTGTCACAGGGCTAGTCACATCTGATCAGTTTATGTTCAATACTTTCTGTCATGGGAGCACTGAAGACTCTCTCTCTTCTGCAGTCAGGAGCAGAAACATTCCCAGAAGTCCAGCTTGGTGTTTGAAAGGCATTAAGATATTTGTCTGGTAGTTTCTCATCGGTTTGCCAAAGTGCTTTATAAATATCAAAGCAGAGGAATATTCCCAAATGCCTGCTCAGATCTCAAATGAGAAAGAGAAGCAGGGAGGGAGGCTGGGTTTATGACCAAATACTTCCCCGTCATTCCAGTTTTGATTAAAGCTCCGATTTAGCCTGCTTCCAATGACCTTTTTCCTGCCGTTTGTTATTATTCGTTTTTTAATCTCTATGGATGGAATATATTATTTTCTAGGCTGACCAGATGCAACCAGCCCATTTCCAAATGATAAAAGAACGGGGGGAGGGTTCCCCCACTTTCCTCTCCAAACTGGGCTGAATACACAGGAGCCGACTCCTAGGGGCCAAGGTTCCTTCAGTTCCCCCCAATAAAATATTTGAGGGCCTCCTCCCAAATTAATGCGCATTGCTATTCAAATGCTGTGTGCATGCCTCATCTTGTGGTGGGGCATGGCTCACATGGCCTCCCAAAAAATATTTTATTCAAGTTGACACCCCTGGATGAATATTAACCATTGGCTAACACCCCAGAGGACAGGATCACACTTCAAAACGACCTTGACAGATTAGAGAACTGGGCCAAAACAAACAAGATGAACTTTAACAGGGAGAAATGTAAAGTATTGCACTTGGGCAAAAAAAATGAGAGGCACAAATACAAGATGGGTGACACCTGGCTTGAGAGCAGTACATGTGAAAAGGATCTAGGAGTCTTGGTTGACCACAAACTTGACATGAGCCAACAGTGTGACGCGGCAGCTAAAAAAGCCAATGCAATTCTGGGCTGCATCAATAGGAGTATAGCATCTAGATCAAGGGAAGTAATAGTGCCACTGTATTCTGCTCTGGTCAGACCTCACCTGGAGTACTGTGTCCAGTTCTGGGCACCACAGTTCAAGAAGGACACTGACAAACTGGAACGTGTCCAGAGGAGGGCAACCAAAACGGTCAAAGGCCTGGAAACGATGCCTTATGAGGAACGGCTAAGGGAGCTGGGCATGTTTAGCCTGGAGAAGAGGAGGTTAAGGGGTGATATGATAGCCATGTTCAAATATATAAAAGGATGTCACATAGAGGAGGGAGAAAGGTTGTTTTCTGCTGCTCCAGAGAAGCGGACACGGAGCAATGGATCCAAACTACAAGAAAGAAGATTCCACCTAAACATTAGGAAGAACTTCCTGACAGTAAGAGCTGTTCGACAGTGGAATTTGCTGCCAAGGAGTGTGGTGGAGTCTCCTTCTTTGGAGGTCTTTAAGCAGAGGCTTGACAACCATATGTCAGGAGTGCTCTGATGGTGTTTCCTGCTTGGCAGGGGGTTGGACTCGATGGCCCTTGTGGTCTCTTCCAACTCTATGATTCTATGATTCTAAACCATCATGGCTTCCTTCTGTTGGGATACTGCCAGGGAGACGGAGGCATCAGGCAGGCCCCCAGTCGTCTCCGGACGATCACCGGTCTCCCATGGAACAGCATCAGTCAATTAGCGACACGAGCCTCAGAGACATTCCAAGACCTGTGCATACCCTTTCAGCAAAGTCTCCACAATGGAAGATGCAGACAGGAGAGCATATTCACAGCTTTATTCAACGTAGTTCAGAACAAAGGAAAAACACGACTGCTTGCCTCCGTGTCCAGGAAAACTGCCAGAAACAAAAGCTATGTACAAAACAGAAGTTCCCAGCGAGAAGCTGGAAGTAAACAGGCATGTGATACACAGCAGCCTGTTCCCTTTTTAAGGTGGAACGGAACTATCCTAACACCCTCCCCCCCAAAGGATCCTGGGAACTGTAGTTTGCTAAGGAAGCGTGTGGTGAGTTTGTTTGGAGATTCCCATCCCCCTCACAGAAATACAGCTTCCCAAGCTCCCTGTGAAGAGGGATTGACAACTCTCAGCAACCCTTGGCAAACTACAGCTCCCAGGACACTTTGGGAGGACCAGTGGTCAAGGATGATGGAAGCTGGAGTCCAGAAACAGCTGGAGACCCAAGTTTAAGAAACACTGGTATAAGGCGATGCAATCTTTCAGTTGGCCAAGCTGCGTATGGTGATTTGCTTACCTAAAAGTGTAGGTGGGTTTCCACTTTCTCAACTGATTCACCATATCTTAATGCGAAGGTGAAGGACCTCTGATCTTTGAGACCTTCAGCAGTAAACAGCAACTCGTATCATCTCAGGCCATTGGTCATGCTGGCTGGGACTTCTTCTTCTTTTGGCGATCACTCATAGCCGAGTAAGATTGTCTTCCATAAACATGGTTTTAACAGTGAGTCCGTAAGTGACTGTGGAGGCCAGTTCTGGATCCACATGTCCTTCCACAGTGGAGATATAGGTTACCAGGTGGGAGTTGATCATGGTGAGAGTTTGCCAAACGTACCTTCCTCTTAGCACATTTCTCCCTTTCATCCTGAGTTTGTGTGTCTTCAAAGCCCATGATACCTTTGGTAAAGGCTGTTCTCCAACTGGAGCGCTCACAGGCCAGTGTTTCCCAGTTGTCAGTGTTTATACTACTGTTTTTTAAGATTTGCCTTGAGACAGTCTTTAAACCTTTTTTGTTGACCACCAGCACTACGCTTTCCATTTTTAAGTTCGGAATAGAGTAGTTGCTTTGGAAGACGATCATCAGGCATCCGCACAACATGACCAGTCCAACGAAGTTGGTGTTGAAGACTAATTGCTTCCACACTGGTGATCTTTGCTTCTTCCAGTACACTGTATTAGTTCGCCTGTCTTCCCAAGCGAGTCCAGCAATCTTTTAAGGGCCATAGGATGGGCCCCCCTTCCCTGATTCAGGTCCATAGATTCAGGCTGCTTTGCTCATGAGACCTCTTTCTGTTTTTTCACCCCCAGACGAAGCCTGCTCTCTATTACCAGGTTGCCATGATCATAAACTACCTGGGACACTGCATTTCTGTAGGGGCGCTCATCATCGCCTTCCTGCTCTTCCTGTGCTTGAGGTGAGTAATTGGCCCTGGCTGTGCAGCTTGCAGACATGTTAGCAAACTCCCTTAAAGGTAAAGATAAAGGGACTCCTGACCATTAGGTCCAGTCATGGCCGACTCTGGGGTTGCGGCGCTCATCTCGCTTTATTGGCCAAGGGAGCCGGCATACAGCTTCTGGGTCATGCGGCCAGCATGACTAAGCCGCTTCTGGCAAACCAGAGCAGCGCACGGAAACACCGTTTACCTTCCCGCCGGAGTGGTACCTATTTATCTACTTGTGCTTTGATTTGCTTTCGAACTGCTAGGTTGGCAGGAGCAGGGACTGAACAACAGGAGCTCACCCCGTCATGGGGATTCGAACCGCCAACCTTCTGATCGGCAAGTCCTAGGTTCTGTGGTTTAACCCACAACACTACCCGCATCCCTTACAAACTCCCTTAGCAAACTTTTTTCAACTGCAGACAGTCTCAGTAGCTACTATGGGGAAGACAGAAAGAAAAGCGGCTATATATTTTGCAACTCCGCAACCCCACTGCACAAGCCTAGACATTAGTATGAAGTAGAAAAAATCCTTCAAAAAGTATCCCCTTTAGCTAACAGAAGACCATGCAAAACCCACCTCAAGTAAGATCATTACAGCTTGCTATTCCCAGTCGTTGCCTTCCCCTCAGTTGCCTTGAAGGACTTCCAGGTCTGGTGAACGACAGGAGTTAAGGTTGGGGGTGTGGGATGTTATTCTGTTCCTGAACCTATTGAATTCTCGCTTTCTGCAACAATGCACAGCCATTCTCCAAGAATTTGCACTTTTCTGAATTTTGCAATGCAGTACCTCTTCAGCCAGGGCTTTGGCTTGTTGACTTCTTCTAGCCCTTTTAAATGTGTTTGCGAGAGGGGGAGGTCTATTGATTTGTGGGTTTTGTTCTTGTTTTCATTGCACATTTTGTGTTTTTATATTGTATTTTATGTTGTGAACCACCCTGAGATCTACAGATGAAGGGTGGTATTTAATAATAATAATAATATTAATAATAATAATAAATACTCCAGTCAGGTAATGTGCACAAAATGCATTTAAGGGGGCAGAATGTGCATTAATAGGAATTAATAAAATCCCTTTGCAAATGCATTTTATTAGGGAAAATCCCTTTGCAAAATGGGCACATCAGGCAATCTCGCTAACCAAAATGTGCATGTTCAGAGAAATTTGCACCAAAATGCTGGTGCATTTTCATGAGGAACCTAAAATATATATATATCGCAAACTCATGTGGAAATGTGAAGCAATGAACTAAAGGCTAGAAAAATGAGAAACCAAGAGAACTCGGTTTCACTCAACTCTGTCCTCTGGCTTCCTGCGAGAAGAACTGGAGTGGGGGAAGGGGATTAGTGCTGAACAACTTCATTCCTCTTTCTCTCCTGAGTCACTTTGTCTGCTGATCTGCGGGGCAACAATAGCAGCTGCTCTGCCAACTGCTGATGAAGTGGAAAGAGACGAGTAAATGCCATTGCAAAAAAATACAAGCAGGCTGAAAAGTGGGAGGGCGGCTCCTGCAGAGAAGCTGTTTCTCAGTGATCCTTCATGCGGCGTAATATGCCTGGGGCGGGATATGAACCACCAGGGTGCTGCTGTCCTTGCAGAAAACACGACTCTTTTACACACACAGGGGCAGCAGCCAGGTTAGGACCTCGTTCTGCCCAGGTGGCCAACGGATGCCCTTTCATTCATCATCCTGCCAAGCCAAGGCAGGGACAACCAGCCAATTCAGCAGCAAAGGTTTCAGGCTAAGCAGGGCATGCAATGGTTGTGTGTTTCTTTCTGGAAGAAAGATAAAATCATCTGACAGATGTGGGGAACCTCAGGCTCATAGAATCATAGAATCATAGAGTTGGAAGAGACCACAAGGGCCATTGAGTCCAACCCCCTGCCAAGCAGGAAACACCATCAGAGCACTCCTGACATATGGTTGTCAAGCCTCTGCTTAAAGACCTCCAAAGTAGGAGACTCCACCACACTCCTTGGCAGCAAATTCCACTGTCGAACAGCTCTTACTGTCAGGAAGTTCTTCCTAATGTTTAGGTGGAATCTTCTTTCTTGTAGTTTGGATCCATTGCTCCGTGTCCGCTTCTCTGGAGCAGCAGAAAACAACCTTTCTCCCTCCTCTATATGACATCCTTTTATATATTTGAACATGGCTATCATATCACCCCTTAACCTCCTCTTCTCCAGGCTAAACATGCCCAGCTCCCTTAGCCGTTCCTCATAAGGCATCCTTTCCAGGCCTTTGACCATTTTGGTTGCCCTCCTCTGGACACATTCCAGTTTGTCATTGTCCCTCTTGAACTGTGGTGCCCAGAACCCCACCCCCTCTGTCTGCCCCCTCCCAAAGCTCTCCCTAGGCCACACACCCTGCTCAGGCCACACCCCTTCTTCTGAGGCCACACCCTTCACCAGCGCTGTTCCACAGCTACCTTGGATGTGCTTTGGCTTGGGCAGATTGTGTCCTTGAACTGTGGCAATCTCTCTTGCTTGGAAGGATGGAGATAGTTGGGGGTGCTTTTGCCCCTGACTTCTCACTACAGTCATACCTCATGTTACGTTTGCTTCAGGTTGAGCGTTTTCAGGTTGTGTCCCGTGGTGACCCGGAAGTACCAGAAAGGGTTACTTCCGGGTTTCGCCACTCACACATGCGCAGACACACAAAATGACGTCACTCACATGCGCAGAAGCAGCAAATCGTGACACGCACATGCGCAGACAAGGGTTGCATTCTGCTCATGTTGCGAACGGGCCTCTGGAAAAGATCCCGTTCACAACCAGAGGTACCACTGTAGCTGCTTAATGTCCACCGGGCTGCCAACATTCACAGGTGGCAGGTGGCCTCCCCAAAGGATTCCCCCTAAGGACTGAAAAAGTTTCCCCACCATGTCAATAAGAGGCTACTTTGCAAGATGGCACATCAACATTCCAGCATGAAGGCTGCCAGGGTATGGCGCACACCGATTACACATTGTGAGGAGCTTCTGAGGGGCTTGGGGACACTATTGTTTTAAGGAAAGCAAGGCTCCACACTGTTTGGTATACCTTTTGGAAGCGGATGGAGCTGTGGTCTAAACCACCAAGCCTCTTGGGCTTGCTGATCAGAAGGTCAGCGGTTCAAATCCACACAATGGGGCGAGCTTCCGTTCCTCTATCCCAGCTCCTGCCAACCTAGCAGTTTGAAAGGACACCAGTGCGAGTAGATAAATAGGTACCACTGCAGCGGGAAGGTAAACGGTATTTCCATGTACTCTGGCACTTGTCCTGGCATCCTGTTATGCCAGAAGCGGTTTAGTCCTGCTGGCCACATGACCCGGAAAGCTGTTTGCAGACAAACACCGGCTCCCTCGGCCTGAAAGCGAGATGAGTGTCACACCTCATAGTCACCTTTGACTGGACTTAACTGTCCATGAGTCCTTTACCTTTACCTTTTTTTACCTTTATACATTCTGAAAGACATGGCACGAGAGGAGGAGGGATGGAGGAGGGAGGAAGAAAAAAGCAAACACAGGCGTCGTTTCTTAGTTGCACAGTTCTTGCAAGCGGCCTTTCTGGCACAGAGAAGCAAAGCATACTCCCTGCCGCTGCTTCTTTTCCTGGACAATAGATGGAGTTGTTCTCCCCCTTGCCATGATGCTGTTCCTTTGAGGCAGGAATAGTGGTAGCCCTTGGTCTCCTTGATTGTAATGTCTTCTTCACCTCCAAATAACCATGTTCAGATGACAAGGAGTTCATTGCAGCAGTAGATTAGCATAGTGGACAATTGAGCCCCATTGATGTTGCCCCACTCTTTCCCTACCCCCTCTGATCATGGATTCCTTTCTCTCTCTTTTTTGCCATACACCACAAATATAATTATGGCCACTGCAAGGATCAAGGAGACAGGTGGTCGGTTTCATTCATCCAAGCAGCCTGTCCACATCCTCAGAGGTAACAGCTTAGAATTGATCCCACACAACTTGACCAGACAGGACTCTAGTACTCTCCCACCCCGGCCCTGCTCCCACAGTGGAATCTACCTCTTTCTGAATCTGAGCGACTTTATCTGCAAAAAAAAAACTTTGCAAAATCATTGCAGGAGATCTTGGGGCCCTTACCGGGCCCTGGTGGTGCAGGTGGTTCCGTTAAATTGCGAACCACCTGAAAGAGTCCCTGCTGCTGTTTTCTGCAGATGCAATAGAGGTGGTGAAGAAGGTCCTCTTCGCCGTTGCCATCGCCACTTGGCAGGCTCAACGTTGAGCTTTAACCTGTGTCCGGTTAGATTCAGAATGAGTTTTCCACCACCAGCGCTCTAGCCGTTTCAGCAATTGTTTCATTGCCCTCAGCTCTGGGGAAAACCATAGTGCTGTCCGGGCTCCATGCAATCAGAAAGGGCGCTTCGGAGCCAGACAGTCAATAGCCCTGGTTAACTCCGCATTCCAGCGGGCCACCAGGGAATCAGCTGAAAGGCCATCAACATGGGATAAAGCATCCCCTACCACTCTCTGGAAGGGACGCGGGTGGCGCTGTGGGTTAAACCACAGAGCCTAGGACTTGCCGATCGGAAGATCAGTGGTTCGAATCCCCGTGACCGGGTGAGTGCCCGTTGCTTGGTCCCTGCTCCTGCCAACCTAGCAGTTCAAAAGCACGTCAAAGTGCAAGTAGATCAATAGGTACCACTCCGGCAGGAAGGTAAACGGCGTTTCCATGCGCTGTTCTGGCTCACCAGAAGCGGCTTAGTCATGCTGACCACATGACCTGGAAGCTGTATGCCGGCTCCCTTGGCCAATAAGGCAAGATGAGCGCTGCAACCCCAGAGTCGGTCACAACTGGACCTAATGGTCAGGGGTCCCTTTACCTTTACCTTACCACTCTCTGGAAACCATTTGGATCCATTAAGTGGCGGGGGTGGACCATGAAGTGACTGCTAATACAACTGATTTACACTGGTGGCGTAATGACAGCAAGTGAGATGTGCAACGAAATCTGTAGCAGGAGT